GCGATTGATTCAGTGAAGAGTATGCTGGGAGAGAGTATGTGTGCCAGCATTCTTATAATTGTAAGGGTAATGTTCTATCACCTTAACAAAAGTAAATTCCTTCAACCCTGCCAAGGGCAGTGTTTCGCCCGTTCTAAAGATCACTTCTGTGCATAGCTCCTAGTGATTATGCACTAGGGCAACGATCGAACCAGGACAAAAGGCCAGTGTGACCCCTCCCCTACCAGACCTGTAGTAGCTCGATCCATCCTTGTGTTGCAAACAAATTCTAAACAACATTTGATAATTATATAATTTTTTACCAACATACAAGCTCAACATTGTGTTGGGGAGGTCTAAATGTTGCACTTTCTAAACTGCCAAGGGCAGTGCTTAGCCCGTTCTAAAGATCACTGCTGTGCGTAGCTCCTAGTGATTATGCACTAGATCAACGATCAAACCTGAACCAGGACAAAAGTCTAGTGTGCACCCCCCCTCCCCCTATCAGACCTGTAGTAGCTCGATCCATCCTTGTGTTGCGAACAAATTCTAAACAACACTTGGTCATTTACCATCATACAAACTCAACATTGTGTTGGAGAAGACGAAATGTTGCACTTTCTAAACCGCAAGGGAATGTATGAAAGGTGTATGTGAATTGCGTTAAAAGGGAAGGGTTGTCTGATACAGTTATGTCCAAGACTGTAGAATATTACGCAAACGGTTGCTGTGGTAAATTGTATTGGGGGGGGGGTACTGTAGTCATCAACTTTTGGAGAACAATAACTGAAGAGACCATGTTATTACCATATTTTAGGTGCCATATAAAGACCTGCAACAGGCTTCCGAACTCTTAGCTGAAGCATTATACATCAGAAGTAAGTACATGGCATTGAGTTTGCAAACGTTTTGTCCAACAACGGAAGGCATCCTGAAGACTGTTCACAATGATTATGATATTCAGCGTCACTTAGAGAAGAAAGGAATGGTGTCGAAATCCTACGAAGATGTCGAATGTAAGTTGGCTGTATTAAATTGATATTTGATAGATTTGATAGATGAAGATTATATGTTTTTGGTTATATAAAATAGTGTATCTGAACAATGTAGTTTAGATTGACGCATTTTCATCAACATAAAGTACGTATGGCTGTGTAGAACTTTTATGACGATTTAAATAATTAAAGTAAAGTTTAGTTAGTAAAGTGAGAAGGTGCTAATGGAAGTGTTTGCAACTGAGTGTTGAATTACAAGGGACGCTGCTCCAACGTCATCGTGTCAAATGCTTATTAGCTTAGAACCATCTGACTGCCACCATTGATACGACTCATGTAGATCTCGGAGCACAGCTAAGGCGGATGGGTGGGTAGGGGGAGGAAACCTGGGGGTGGGGTGGTCCGGAGAAAAAACCCTCGAAGCACAGAAATGAAACAAACATAGCCTGCGTAGCGGCTCTCAGAAAGGAGAGCCTGCACGAGATCTACTGCCATTCCCGCCCTCTTAGCCTGCGGGCTACGCCCACTTTCAACAGATGTCAAAATTGAAATAATATAGATTGCTTTACGATTGCAAGTTTCAAAACGAAATAATATACGGATGTCGGCTAAAGAAAATTGAAGTTTGTAGGAATAGCGCTAGAGCAGTTTCCATCGTCGTCACAAGTAGTTTGCAGTCCGCGTGCGAGAAAGCTACGAAATCTCGTGGATACGTACAAATTAGTTTCGACAGCGGTTAACCGTGATGTAAATGTCAAAGTTTCGAGCGATGCAGGGACGAGAAAGGTGTCTGAAGCCGTCACTTCAGAGAGAGCAAGTCCTGTTCGTATCGGTTAGGTGGAAAACGCGGACATGCGGAATCGTGGCCTTTACAGTAAGCTGTTTTGAAAGCAAAACTCAAGAAACACCTCTCCTGCATCCGCCGTGTTTGTTCACAATCAAGCTATCTATCAGTAGCTATTTTATATAAGTGTATCTTTTGTCTCCACGGCACTTATGGATTATGGAAAGCAGGTTATTTTATTTGTTGTAATTTTTGTTTTGTATCTTTGTAATTGTTTGTACTCCTGATGAGTTTTTTACCGTGGTTAAATAAAGTTTTTGAATAATCAACGATTATTTTAGCATAAATTAGCATATTTTTCATTTTGAACCAATCAGATTTCTCGTTCTCTTCAGAACGAGTAAAAACGGCAAAGCATGGGTTTCGTGCAGGCTCTCCTTTCTTAGAGCCGCTACGCAGGATAAAACAAACATAACTTTATACTAAATCACTTCCAGTACATGCGTTTGGAAGCACACAATCTTAACAGGGCAGTCAATCATTCTAAAGTATGGCCCTATCCTCTGCCTACATTAGCGGGCTTAACTCAGTGTATTGTAGTTGCACACCCCAGTAAACTAGCCCAATAAAATATTTGTCTCCATTAACTTATTGTGATTGTATAGTCATGGTCATTTTACAGTATATGCATTAAATTTCAAACCAAGTAAATTATTCGAATTGTTAGACTTAGATGTCGTAATCAATAATACTAGAAGTTACTATCGCAAGGAAAGTGCTGCCTCACCCCCCAAGGGATCAAAGGCAGCATGCACAATTGGCTGAATAAGGGGCTGTTTATATGATCCCACTTTGCCATTACTCTCATGATGTTTTTATATCAATATATAAAACTAAAACCACCCCCAAATACATAAAGAATACATAAAGGAAACTAAGTAAGTTATACTTTATAATTTAAAAAATTAAAGTTGTAATGCAAAATATAATAAAATTAAAAAATAAATAAATACCCACACAGAGCCTGGCCACCTGTGGTTTTATATTAATACCTTCAATGCTTATAACTTCTTGCTTTTGTTATGTATAATTATAATCAGTTGTCATTGTTGAAGCTAGCCATAGCAACAAGTCATGCTATGCAAGTTATTAATGATTTGTATCATTCAAATAGATGCAAGATTATCAGCATAAGCATAGCACAGAGGGCATAGCATGACGAGTTGCCATGATTAGCTTGCCACTGAATACTGTACAATATTATATATTTATATAGTATTATAGAGAATAATACATGGGTGTGCGGAAATTTCGAGAAATAAATCTGGTATTTCCAAGTATTTATGTTTATTTTTCTGTTTATTATATAAAGGACAGTCTTTGAAAAGCGATATTTTTTGCAGAAAAGCGATTATTGAAAAGCGATAATTTTCACATGTGAGATTGGGTCATTCCAGAAAAGATCCATACTCCCCCCACGGAGGAAATTTCTGCCGTCCGGAGGGGGAGGGGAGAAAAAATGTTTCTGATAATAGTAAATGTATTAGGACATCCGAAGGGAGTAGGGGGGTTAACTTCCTATTTCCTCCGCGGGGGTGGTATGGATGTTTTCTGGAATGACCCATTATCATAAATAATCTCACAT